CGCTCTTCCCGCAAGTCCATCAAGGAGGCAGAAGGTGATTAGCTCCGCTCTTCTTCCACCGCGGATGTATTCTCCTTTGTTCCCTGAGCTCATCCGCTCCTCCGGGAAGCTCACCCCACCCCACATCCATGGCCTAACGCAATCCCTGCGCTGACCCTGGGGACATTCGCTGCAGCAGAAGCCCAGTTCTGCTCTAGACACTTGGGGAAAAGGCAAATCCCCATCCGTACTAGCAATATAGAGGCTATGACACAGTGGAGCAATCCAGCTTTCCTTCAGCAAAAGGCAGTGATGCCATGGATGTTGTTTTTTAATAGTCCCCAGGGGCACTGCCGCCACAGCGCAGCCTAAGTGTGAGCTGTTGTGATAGCGCAGCTGCATTATAGTTAGCTTAAGGTTATGCAAGGTCGCTGTGTACAAAGAGGGGCTGCGAGAGCAGCTCACCGGAGCAGGACAAAGGTTTGATCGCTGATTAGATTTAATCCCTGGGGCCGAGTCGCTATCAGGGAAGTGGCTGAGACTCCTAGAAGGGGCTTGGACTACGTGAGCTATGGAGGTCCCTTCCAGCCCGACCTCTGTAGGACTGAGTGCTTATGCTGCACGCTGTTTGACCACCTCCGTCCCAGGACCAGCGTGCGTGTGCGACCAAAGCAAGTCCCGGCTAGGTGACACCCGCTGGGCAGCTGCAGTGGCTGATCAGCAAAGGAGTGGGGCGCGGGGCGGTGGGATGCTCTTGCCCATTGTGAGCTTGGATCCTATAACGTGGCTTTTCCCCCCTTTCTAGGGACTGAAAGGCCCCGTCCCTGGTGCCGCAGTCCACTGGGGGTATGAAGAAGCTGTGATTGATCCCGGGCCCGAACAACAGCTCTGGGGCCAGGAAGACGCACTGGATGAGGAGCCTTCCTGGGAAATGGATAGAGTCACCCGCAATCCGATCTTCCACCTCCCTCAGGCAGCTCCCCAGGCCAGCCCCCCTGGCGAGAGGAAGTCTCAGCACAGCCACGAGGGACACGGCGGGCGGCAGGTGGAGAATGGCCATGGCTGGGGATCCCACGGCGCCCTGGAAGATGCATCCGAGTTCCCAGCGGACGCCCTGGACAGCGGGAGGGACCTCTGGACGCCACCTCCAGACCGCGAGTCCAAGCTGGAGGTCGTGAGGGCCGGGACGCTGTATGACCTCAGGGCTTACAGGGGGGAGAAGAAGCCCTCCAAGCTGTACGAGGAGGATGAGGAGGAGCAGTACAGGTGCGTCCCGGCCGAAATCTCCCCCGAGAAAGCAAAGGAGCTAGAAGAGGAGAGGCAGCAGGTCATCAAGAGCCAGGTGGTGAAGAAGAGCTCCACCACGGCCGAGAGGTGCAGCTCCGTGGACGAGCTGAGCTCTGCAAAAAGCACGCCTGAGAAGAGCGAGGCCAAGCTCGGGGGCAGCCGTGCCCCCAGCTTTGCCATCTGCTTCGACAGCAGCTCCCCCAGGCGGGCGCTGACGCCTGTCGACCGCGAGAGCATAGACACGGATCAGATCAACTTCGCCACCGCCCGGCAGCAGTTCCTCCTGCTGGAGAAGGCCAACCCCGGGTCGCTCTTCAGGCCGGGACAGCAAGGCACATCCCCAAAGCCGGAGTCAACCAGGAGAGCTTACGAGTGGGTATGGCAGTGTCCGGAGCTGTTCCTTGGCACCCCCAGCCAGCGCGGGGAGGACGGGGGTAATATCGCCTACACGGCAGGTGTGGAAGAGGAGCCGTGTGCTCCCAAGAAAGCCGACACACCAAGGTCCCATCCCAATAGCGAAGCAACCTCTTTCCCCCAAGCATCCTCCCGAGAAGACGTGGGCTTGAGCCTGGGCAAGATGTCCACCGAGTCCAGCGCCGACTACGCCAGCGATGGGAGCGTGTCTGAGGTCTTCGAGGCCCCGTTGCCATCCGAGCCCGACAGCCAGGATGGTGCCAAAGAGCCCAAAGCCAGGACCGAGACGCCCATCGAGAGGGAGATCCGCCTGGCGCTGGAGCGGGAGGAGACTCTGCGGAAGGAGAGAGGCCTGGGGAGGCAGTCGAGCAGCAGCGAGCTGGTGGAGATCCACACCAAGCCCCTCCTCACCATGTCCCGCTCACCTCCGCCGGGCAGGAAGGGGAAAGACAAAGGCCGTGCTTCCTTCTACGTCCAGCGGGAGATCGAGCAGGAAACCCAGCGGGAGGAGGCGCTGAAGCGGGAAGGCAGGCTGCTGGGAGCCTACGACAAGGGGCCGCAGCAGGAGCTGGGCGAGCGCAGGAAGGTGTTCGAGCAGGACGATGCCACGCCAGCCCCGGCCAAGAGCCCAGAGGCGCCAGCCCGGACCCAGACTGGCGCGCCCATGATGAGCCACGGTGCCGGCTCCATGGTGGATGCCGTGGACCTCCTCAGCGTCCAGGCTTATCCGCCGTGCCAGCAGGACCCCAGCCTGGAGGGCTTCCCAGGGGCAGGGGCAGAGGGTGCTGAGGCCAGCACGAGGCCTGCCAAGCCAGGCGTGATGAATAGGGAGTACTTCTCCCTGCTTTGGAAGCCCAAGTTTTCCTTTGCCACAGACCAGGGCAGCGGGAGCCAGCAGCGTGCAGAGCAGAGTGCGGCGCGGCTGAGCGCCCACGAGGAGCAGTACACGCTGAAGTCCTGGAAGCCCCAGGCAGCCGTGCTGATCGAGGAGGACATCCAGCACACCCTGCAGCGGGAGCAGGAGCTGCGGGAGGAGCGGAGGAGGAGCGAGCGGCTGAGGCAGGGCAGCCAGGAGGAGAAGGGCTCCCCATCACCGCTCTCCTCTCCCAGCTCAGGTATGGGGGTGGTAGGAGCTGGGGTGGGGATGCACTCTGTGCGCGGAGCCCTGGGCATCTGTCACACCTCCTGATGCCCAGGGCCTGATGCTGCCCGTAGGGAGGGGGCTCCCTGGCTAGGACCGTGGGTACCATAAGTGTGCTGCCCAGCCCCTGCCAGGGGGATGGAGCTCAAGCCTCCTCAGCACCAGCTCTTCTCTGCTGGAAAAGGACAGAGCCCCGAGCTCCCTGCCCCGGATGGGGCAAATATCCCAGAACACGGGGGCTGGGGAGATATGGAGAGGAACTCCTTTGAGCTCTGAACTGGGAGCCAGGGCTTGGCACCTTGTGCCCACACCGGTCAGGATCTGCTGGTGGGGCACCGATGGGCTGGACTGAGCCCGGGGGCGGGCAGGATGGTTATGCAGGAGATGGAGGGCACGAGCCTCTGATCCAGCCTGGGGCCCTTTTGGAGAGCTCCTTGCTGCTGGGTGTACGTCCTCTCGGTCCGCAGGGCCAAAAGGTCTCTGGAAAACATCTCCCCACGAAAGGGGATTTCACGCTCTCACATGGGCCCATTGTCCTCTTTCAGGCGCCTCCGGCATCAGTGGCAGCTACTTGGTGTCTGAGTCCCCGGTCTTTGCTCCTCTCTCCATGAACGTGCCCAGCCCCTACCAGGGCTACTCGGGGAAGTCGATGGCCCTGCAGAGCCCCCCGCTCGGCAGGAGGAAGTTGAAGCAGAAGGACGACAGGATGGTGAGTGCTCCTTTCAGGGCCCTGGGGATGTCCTGGGTGCGAGCCGCTGTCCCGCAGGGGGCTGGGGCACGGGTCCGGAGCTGCCCAAGTGCCCTGCCTGGCTCCGAGGGTTTGGAGACACCAGGGGCAAACCCAGATCTGAGCTCGCTTCCTGGCTGTGAAGCTCCCCTCGCTATGGTCATGGAGCTGCAGACGTCGGTGCTGTGGGGTGTCTGCTGCCGCCTCGGGAGTAGGCAGCCACGTGCACCCAACTCCACCTCCTCTGTGCTGGGCACTGCAGCTGTAGCCGGGCACAGGCCCTTCCTTGCCCTCACACCCCACATCGTGGGAGTCGCTGTGTACTGGGCTTGCACCAAGCCCAAGCAAGGCAACCTTCCCTCTAGCACATAGGCCTGGTCGGTCCAGCCGGTCCAGTCCCTCTCCCCCTGCCCGGTTCCTGTTGTCTGACCCTCTCCTTTCCTCTTGCAGTATGCAGGCATCGAGCCAAGCGACACCATCAACACAGAGGTACGGTGCAGCTCCCAGCCTGGGGGCACCTGGGGGCACCAGGCCCTTCCCTCCAAACTTTCTGGATAAATAATAAGTGTCTTCCATGCCCAGCAGCTTCATTGGGCTGACTATATACATCGCACCGAGGCAGGGATGTCTCAAGGCATGAGAAGGGCGGTGGGGGGCCGCATTGCCAAGAGCAAAGCCTAACTCCGCTGCCCCTGGGCAAGAAGGAGGGGTATCTCACTATGAAGGTGCTGGGCTCAGGCATAAAAAACCCAGCTTCAAGCACTTGGGGGTGCCACAAGCTCCTTGGGCCTGGATACATAGAGGTAGTTAGGTGCCTAATGGCCATAGAAACCCCTGCCGGCATTTAGGTGCCTGAATATCTTTATGGATGGGTGTCTTAGTCTCTTGTAGCTCAGCTCCCGTTCTGCGTACCACCCGAGGGGTGTGATGGAGGATAACCTGGATTGCTGGGGGATGGGGATGGCTTGAGTGCATGCCTGCCTCCTCTCTCTGCAGAGGATGGGTGATGGCTGGAGGGGGCAGTTTGCAGCCAGGACTTCATCTAGCACAATCGGCCTCTGGGCCGATGCTCCCTCCGCTCCTGGAGGCTAAAAGGGAGTGAATAATTCTGGCTCCGGGTGCCAGAGAGCCACTCTGCCCTTCGCAACAGGGATGAGCAGCTGGGAGAGATCCTGGTGATGAACCAGGGATGCTTCAGATTGAGCACAGGTGTCCTCCAGCTGTTCCCTCGTGGGCCTGGCACACGGGCCACTGCTTTCAGGCCCAACTCGGTTGTCACTGCGTAACCCTGTAGCGGTGTCTGTTCTGCAGACAGGACCGTACCCACCGTGGCTTCAAGCTAGCATGGGTGCAATTATGCTGCACATCTATACCCACCTAAAGTCAGCAGGGCCTGAACAGTCAAGGAGTTGTGGGCGCTCAGCTCTTCTAACCAGCTGGGAGAGCCCAACATTAGAGACACTTCACATCAGCTGTTGCAAATGGCACACCAGGGCCCAGGAGTATTGTTAAGACAGAGATCAAATAAGCCGGTGCCTAAGAAATCTGCCTCTAATGTCGCACTTAATGGGTCTTTTAGGTGGTCGAAAGCACTAGAGTGATTCGCCACAAGAACTTGCTGGCCCAGCGCTGGGAGGCAGGACAGTTTGCCAACAAGGACGATGACTGACGCTGCTTCAGGCCAGCCAAGACTCTGCGATGCACTTGCGTGCGGTCCACGTCGGACCCCACCGGAAGCAAAGACTCAGCCCCTCCCCGAGCCCTTCCAGCTCCCGCTGACCCCCCAAATGAAGACTGTAGACATTGCACTGGTCCGAATCGACAAGGCGACCGTTTACAAATCTCTAGTTTGCGCTTGCTTATTTTTTTCCCCTTCCCTTCTGCTCCAAGAGGACATTTTATTATGGGGTTTTTTTTCCTTGAAGATGGGAAAACCAGATCACTTCTTCTGAAATCTCTTTTGCAAATCAACAGCTAGATTCAATGAAATCAGACTGTAATTTCACTCCTTTCCCACTGGAAGGTGCATCCCTGCACTGGGGAAAAGGAGTCCTATTTTGTTTCTGAAGATGCTTTGGGTTAGGTATGCCAGGTGGAAGCTGGCCTAAGAAACTAGCTGGACAGCCAGATCTCTGGATCTTTAGAAGCAATCCAGTGGGCAAATCAAGATGTTAGACATCAGTCAATACGATCTGCCGAGATGCAGTGCTATACACGATACGTATTTTTAATGCTGTCGGTTATTTGGAAAGAGGTAATTTATTAAAGAGTCACCCTGCTGCATCAGCCTTCCAGGCTGCTCTTCTCCGTGCAAACGGCCTGTCGATTTGTGCGTCGGGGATCGCGCATGTTTAAGAAGAACGGGGCAGGGGAGGGAAAGTTACGTCCGAAGGTGGGAGATGGAGGTCGCTGGGTCCCTGAATTGAGGCCCAGGAATTGGTGAATATTCTCAGGGATCTGGGAAAAAGCAGAGGGGTAGGAAATCAATGACACATGCTGAATTTGCCTTCATCTCCCTCCATTCGTGCAGCAGCCTGGGAGCTCCAAAAGAAGCATCCCTCTCCGAAGCCAGACCATGTCGGAGCATCCCACTAGAGGGCCCCAGAAGAGCAGGGCTGGCGGCACGGTCAGAAATCTCTTGAAGCTGCTGCAGTAAAGAACTCGGGGACCTTTTTCGGATCTAGGGTGACACGCGTGTGTGTGCAGCAGGCCCCGAACGGGCCCGTGCGCCAGTCGAAAGCTCTCTGGGAACTGCCCGCATAAGGTACCGGGCCACGGGCCCAACGAGAGGTCACCCTGTAAAGTGCCGAAGCGATGGAGCCAGACAAGGTTCTTTGGGTAGATGTGATGGCCTTTATTAGAGCAACCGATTTAGTTAGTCTAATAAACCAACTAAATTAGTTGGTCTAAATTTAGTCGGTCTACTAAAAGATATCACATCTACCCAAAGAGCCTTGTCTGCCTGTGTCCTTAGACCAGCACGGCTGCAACCAGCACCCCTAAAGCATGAGTGATTTATCTTTATTCCCATTGCCTTTTGCTGAGCTCGCGGTTCCTAGATGCTTAAGCAGCTTCTGCCAAGGTTTTTTGGGTAGATGCGATCTCTTTTATCATCATTGGAAAAGTTGTTTTTTGCAAACTTTCGGGCACAACCCCTCCCTTCTTCAAGCATATGGAGGGTCTCAAGCATATGAAGAAGGGCGTTTGGGCTTGAAAGCTTGCGAAGTACTGGTTTTCCCACTATTTAGTTGGTCTGATAAAAGAGATGACATTTACCCAAAGGACCTTGTCTGCCTGTGTCCTTAGACCAACACGGCTACAACCAACACCCCCGTGAGCAGCTTCTGGACGTAGGATGCAGACTCCTGAATTACTCGGGTGCTTTCGAGAAGGATTCTCTCTAAAGCGCAAGTGAAACGAGAGTGGAGTCCTCCTCCGAAGGCTCACCCTCGCAGATCCAGCCTGAGCACGTGGCCCAGCGCTGTCCTGGAAAGGCTGAGGCTTTGGGTGCGGCAGTCGCGAGTCCACGCAGAATAGCAGTGGGAAGCCAGCCAAGTGTCAGCCTGCTTCCTGCACGGGCCTCGCCTAGCAGGCCGACCATCCTCAGCTTGCAATGCAAGCGGAAGCGTGTAGCGGGCGCACGGGCTGGGTTTACTTTGGGAGACATTGGAGTAACAGGCTTTCCTTTCACTTCCTCTTCTGCTTTTCTAGTCTTAACACTGGCTGCAGGGAGGCACCACATTAAGAACCGCATGCATGAAAAGAGGAAAGGGAGCCGTGTCCTTCGTGTTCACTTCCCTCTCATGTACAACACACCCTCCCTGCATTTCCCTCCTCTGGTGAGTAGGGAATAGGCAAGGGGCTTGTGATTATGAGGTGCCAAGCCCTATTTAATACCCCCTGGTCTCGGCAGGGCAGCAGGGCGAGTCCTGTTCCTCCATGTACGCGGTTGTGCAGCATCTGGGTTTCTTCTCCATCCAGTTCCTGGGCTGATCGAGGGGTCATGCAAAGCCAAGCAGTGAGGGAATGGGTTGGGGAATTAGGAGACTTCTGGGGAGGAGGCTAGTCTCAGCTCTGCCACTGATTTACTGTGTCACCTTGGGAAACTTGCTTTCCTGCCTCAGTGCCGCTGTTTCTGGCAAAATGGGGAGAACGATTTTTTCGTTTGCAATGTGTGTTGAGATCCGGGGGTGAAAAGCACCCGTGGAGATGCTAATTCCCCATAACACTGGCTTCCCAAACAGTATATCACTGAGCTGAAACAAAATGCTCCATGGGGGCATGCTGTTTCCATGGGAAGCTCCAGCAAAAAGCAGACCTCCCTGCTGGGGCTCCCAGGGGCTCCCAGAGCTCAGCAGAGGACCCCCAAGGGGCTGGGATTCACTGGCTGTACACCTGGGGAGCTGCCAGCTCCGGTGCTACAGGTGGCTAATGAAGCCAGAAAACTCTGGCTCACGGGCACGGTCCTTTCCATCCTTTCCCTGCAAAACACATCTGAGATTGAATTTTTCCTCCCGATTCAGAGCACAAAATATTTCCAAGTGCTAAGGATTGTCAAGGGAAGGGATTTCCACTTCCCACACATGTCACCTGTTTCCTTTTAGCTACATGGTGTAATTAAGCAGATGCCAACCATACCAAACATTTCCCCAAAAAGTCTGCTACTGGGATGGCTGTAATCTCTTCCTTTCAGGATGAAAAACAGGCATCTATACAGCTTGGGGTCATGGTGTATCCCCATGGGGGGACAACCATATCACAGCCCTGTATTATGCAGGTGTCTGGCTAGATCCAATACAGAAATACTGGAAAGCAAAAGCCAACACAGTTCTGAAGTTTCTCTTTGGAGCCACTGCCTACAGAGGAAAAGCAGCAGGTAAGATGGGATTTTGGTAGAGATACAGCCAGCACTGCTGTCTGTAAGGAAGGTGATGTTCAGGGGCGTTTCAACTTTTGAGAAGTTTGTAACTTGGCCATTTTATGTTGCAGCTGGCTGAGACCTGGCCTTCAAGCTCTCGTTGAATCCTTTCAAATTCAGATGAAGGGTTCTGCTGTGTTTCAATCAACTCATACCAAAAGAGAGAAGGCAATGAGCCTTGCAACTGGAAATTACAGGTGGAAGCAGAGGCCCCCAGAACAGTGGAGGCCGGAGGGCCCTGGCCCCCCTCGGGACAAGGGCCGTCACCTGAAGTGTGTCAGACGTACCCACGCCTTAGGGCCCCCCCGGCAAAATATATAAGTCAGCGCCTATGGGTGGAAGAGAGGAGTCTAGTCTGAGTCTCTAAACCTCCATTCTCCTTGTTCCCACCGAAGACATGAGCTCTGAGCTCAGCCATGCAACAGGGGGAGAGAATCGCCATGCTTTTCTTTCAGCTATAGACTATATCTCCTGCTGGGATCCCTCTAGACAAGAAGGCAGTTGAAAGGATTACCCCCAAACCATTTTTAAGACATCTAATCCTTGCAGGGAGAGCAGGTGCCCTCACTTAGCACGTAGTGCAGTTGCTAGCTCTCTGGACTTCCTGCCCTCCGAAAAAAGCATTTGGAAATCACCTAGGAGGACAAAGGGTGTGACTTTTTCAAATGCAGGTAAGGGTTAAATGTTTCACCCTGTGCACCTGAGAGTCTCAACCGTGTCAATAGACTGACGGCAAAGTAGAGCTGCAGCTTCTCTTAGTAAAGTGATGGAAAGCCTGGAAGTAAAAGATGGTCTCCGAGGTAGAAGGGGCGGATGTACTTAGTATCCAGCTTGCTCTGAGGTGTGAGGAGCCGCGGAGAACATCTGTGCAGAACACTGCAGAGAAACGAATATATTCTCCTCGCTGGGTATGTAAACGCATCTCTTTTGAACAGCAGGAAAAGGAGCAAGTCGGCCCAACTCTCTATCCCCCTGAGCACCCCAAAGCTGACGCAGCTGAGGGAGGTTGGATGCCCTCCCTTCCACCCAGCTGTTGGCTAAGTGGCAATCAGGAGGGCTAAGGGGCTTCAGCTGCAAGACAGTGGAGTGGCAGAGGGTTAGTGTAGGTCCTGGAAGCGTAAGGCTTAGAGGACCATTAGGGATAATAAAAGAGAAGGAAAAAGTCCAGCTTGGTTGCTGGATCTCATCTTGTGGAGGAAAGGCTGGCAGTTGAGGGGTCTCTTTATATTGACGCCGAGCCTGCTTGAGACGCAATTACATTGGACGCTTTTCCTCTGGTTGTATTTCACTGTGGGAACATGTGCTGAATACTTCTGACCATGCCGGCTCGGTGGCCAGCTGCATCCCTGGAAGGGCCCGTCTGCAATTAGCCAGGCTAAGGAGTGGCTTGCAGCTACTAGTCCAATTTGAGCCGTGAAAAGAAGCAGCGCTAACAGTCCTGCGGCACTGCTGGTGCGGAGTGTCTCGCTGCTTCTGCAAATGAAATGGCTCTCTGGTTTATTTGCTCCGCTCCGAGTAGCAATTAAACCCTTGAAGATATCTCATTTAGGAAATCTAGGCAGAATGCTACCCAGGCCGGCAAAGCGCACTTAACTAGATTTTTAGCTTAAGAGCACCACGGGATGTGAAAAAATGCAATGCGCTGACAAGTCCTGTACAAACAGTCCAAGCAGGCTAGGTCATTGGAGGAACTGGTGCTGCTCTCCTTATCTTTAGTACTTCTAGACCTCTCCTTGGGTTCATAGACGCATTTAAGTCACCCTCATTGCCAGGATGCTGAGCAGCAGGGTGTTAACCCGTCAGGTGTGCATCGTTTCCTTCCGTCCTGTGCCCAGGAGGGAAACTGTGGACTAGAGCCCTTGGGTGAGTTAATATGTAGAGGCTGCTGTGCCTTTAGTTAGGGAAAGCAAGGTTGAAGTGCATCTTGCCCGAAGCCCGTGGCATTTATTTTCCTGGCCTGTGGGCTGGTCTTTCCAGAGGCCTTGCTCAAAGTTGTCTGTTAACTGTCTGCTGAGCAGGTTCCTCTTATGACAACCCACGCTGATATTTCAGGGATCTGTTTTTGTAGCCGTGTTTTCGGCTCCTAAAAGGTTAACTGGGCTCTGCTGCCTACTTTATCTGACTATAAGGGAGGCAAGAGGTGATCTTTAGGCTGGGAGGTTTAAAGGTAGTGGGTCTCTGACCATGTGTGAGTGGAGTGGCACCCCATTTCAAACGCTAATTTTGTATAGTGCAATGCTTACCTGTTTGCAGAGGGGGCCAGACAGTGGAGGTAGGGGATGTGCCAGGCAGGGCCTGTGCCTGTCTGCTTAGCTTTTATGCTTTTCTTCTCAGGCTTCTTGACACCCTTCAAAGGATCTCAAGGGCTGAGAATCGCTGTTCTAGGGTGTGCACTAAGCAGCCAGGCCTGAAAAAAAGGGGTTGAGGCTGATTGTTATCAGGTTGTTTTGTTCTTTATTAGTAAAACCCAATCCCCCAGGGAAAGGTTTGACTTTTGGATTTCATGCGGCTTGCAGATCAGTTTGGCAAAGGTCCCTGCTCACGCTGCCTCTTACCCAGAACCTATATGTGCATCTGTGTCTGTGCATCATTGGGACACCCACAGTGCCCCAAATTGGTGACAGATTGCTCTGATTTGGGCTTTTGCGATAATACCGTATAATGCAGGAAAGGCAAGCTATCTTCTAGGCACTTAGCTGAGGAAGTTCAGCTCTCTGTGCCTTGTTGATGGGGAGAGTAATGTGCCCTTATCCTTTGTAAACGATTCTTGAGAGCTACAGGTTAAATGCTGCTATGGAGGGGACTGGACCCTATCAAGGGAGTGACCCACAGAGATCTTAGGTTTCTGGAGTCTCAGGAGGGCTTCCCACAAAGGGATCCAGCTGCATGATCTGCTCTGCAGTGCAAATGGGACCCACGTGAAGAAAAGTCTGTGGCTGATCATCCTAGTGGAAATGTGATGGGAGCAGTGGGAGTGAACAGGCGAGTCTTTTGGTCCACCTGATTGCCAGCTCTGGGCTACTGATTTCGCCTTCTCTGGGCAGACCGACGCTGATGAAGTCAAACTGAATTTATTAAGAGATGCCAGCGATCCAACAGTTGTAACCGGACTTTAAGAAAATACAGACATTGAAGAACTCTGAATACATCAAAGCATTGGCTATACTCTCCTAAAACAAGAACTGCAATACTGAAGGAAATAGCTTTGTTAGAAAACATTGCGCTGACTTTGGTAACTTCCTAAAACACAGAACGAAGTAAAGCTAAGATTCCTTCCCCCTCTTAGAAAAGGAAAAGAGAGAGAGAACTAGTTTGAACACTGTTTAAAACACTCTGAATAGCTATAGATTAGTATTTGGCAACCACTGATGGTATTTCATCACTTCCCCAAGCCAACTCCACCTACTTAGCTTTTCCTTATACAAGGAGATGTTACACAAGACTGCTGCTAAATACAGTTTATAATCGGGTCAGTTCCAGCCCTCCCTAAACTGCACAGACCTGTCATTCTTAGCCATATTATTCAAATATGGGCCCTGTTAACATTAACATTAGCGCTCTGAGGCGCTGAGCTAATAATTCAGCAGAACATTAATGGTTTAAATCTGGGATTATGTTTCATGCTTGCATTGTGCGTTGAATAATTAATTCCATTCTTGCTATTGATGGAAGCCCTGCACTTCATCGGAAAATGAAGGTGATGGTAATTTTAAAGCCAATTTAAAATCATTACGCCAAACTCCGAGGAAAGGAGCTGTCTCTCTCTACCTATACTAAGTGCTGCCACGTTAAACGATTCTAAAACTACCGGACCAAAAAAAAAACTTCTCCCAAAATCGGGATGCAGAAATCCAACTGACCCTCTTACTTGGTGGACCTCTTTTCAGATCCTTTAACTTGCTGGATGATAACTTTCATCATTTTTTCCATTTTGGTTTTGGTCAGCGATTTTCTACAGTACCAGATTTGGTCCCATATGGAGCACAAAGGTTTAGGAGAGAGGTAAAATGGATCGTGATCATGAAACATATCCAAAGGCCTCCTCCTAGCGTACTCCTTATAGTCCCAGACGGGACAGCTGCCTGGGTTATCAGGCTTGGCATATATGCATGGACCTGACTCCTCTGGATTTGCCTTTGCATTCAGATTCTCTTTCCACTCCAAGTACTCTAATCCCTCCTTGTTCTTTTTCAGTAAAACCTGCCCCCACCACACATTCTGAGCCTGATGGTGCGTGTTTGCCCCAAACCCTCTAACGATGTTTACGAGCATTAAGTGCAGGAAGCCTTCGGGATGCATTCGGCTGAGTATGCCTTTCTTGCGAAGATCCTCGACGTCTCTATCTGTCAGGTTTTCCAGGATGCTCCAGTCTCTCTCCCTCTCTTTTTCTGCTAGTTGCTGGCCTTTCACTTTTAAGGCTTCCTGAGACGCTGCGAATTCGAAGCCTTTCACCACGCTATACTCGTACTTGTGTTCCTTGAGGTACCTCTCTATACTGCTCTGGAAGAAGAATAAGGAGCTGGCCGAGAACTCGGCGCCGTTCTGCTTCCTGACGTTAGTGTAGAACGAGGCTAGGTAATTATCGAGGGCTTCTGGCAGCAGCGTGAAGATCTCCCGCTTTTCAGAGGGGTAATGTAACGCCAGCCAGTCTCTGAACATTTTTATGTCGCTGATGTTACGGATTCTCTTGCTCTCTGACTTCCTCACTACCTCTAAAAGATAAGAGACAGCTCTAGAGAGTAAGGGAAATGCAGAGTTGTGTTCACGTACCTCTAAAGAATTAAAGGGAGCAGGATCCCATTAGGTTGGGGCTCTTGTCCTCCCGCCTGCCTCTTCTCGAACTGTTTTACCCCTGCCTGTACTTGGCCACCTACGCTGGAATTTCTGCCTTTGCTGCTGCTGCTGTTCTTCTACGGATGGTAGGTAACGCAGTGTCCTCATCACCAGGGAGCCTGGTTTTCTCCGATTTAAACAAATCCCCAATTTTCAGTTTAAAAAAAAAAAAAGTAATCCCAAATCCACCATTTTCCGTGGTTTAAAGGAAACGCAACTAATATATAGATATGTATATAGCGGCATTTCATTTTAATCGTGGAAAAATGTGGATTTGGGATTACATTTTTTTTAACTGAAAATTGGGGATTTTTTTTTTTTTTTTTTTAATTGGAGAAAACCGGAGCCCTGCGTCACTCAGTGGAGTTCCTATACCCGGTCATATTGCTTTGAGCTTGTCTTATTCTATGGGAGCAGCGTGAGGCCAGGTGTGAATTCATGCCACGCGGTGGCTTGTAAAATGCATCCCAGCACAGCAATAAGTTCAACCCACCCGTAGCCCTTTAGACTAGGATTTACGGTGGAACTTGAATTGCCTGCATGTTGGGAACGGGGTGAATTTTACCCAGCCTGATTATGATTCATCAAGGGCACACCCAGACTGCACTTCCTTATGAGTCCAGTCACCTAACTAAGGCCTGCAAGGCTGTGCCTTGAAATCCAAACCTTAGCTATCCAGAAAGCAGCAGATAAACTTTCTTCTCCACTTGCAAACACTCAGACGTATATTTTATCATGTAAATTTGGATCAGTGAAGGCGATGGGAGCTGGCCTGCATACAGGTGAAGGTATAAGGCAATGTCTATATGCACCTTATAGACTAACCACATAAAATATATATGGAGAGAGAGCGTTTTCTTTAGTAGGAAAAAGTGAATAAAAATATCTTTTAAAAAAGGGCTGCCAGGATTCCACTTGAGTTTATTTCTCAGGTTGTCATGGCAGTAGCACATCCATATCGTTCTAGTTCGGTGTCGTCTAAGAAGCAAATTGCTTAGGGTAAAAATTCACTCCTTTTGCAGAGGGCCAGAATACGATCCAAGCCTTGCTGCATGCTGCAAATGCCCTAAAGAGTGGGGAGAAACCCATCCCAGAAAGTGGTGGGGACTGCTTACCCAGCACCTCTGATCAGATGGCTGCACTAGCCATGGGTTACGCAGGAATATATCTTAGGGCTCTTAATGGTACGGCAGCAGCTTGGTAGTGGGATTCTTGGTAGTGGCAATTATCAAGGGTGCACGTATCCTGTTTTCTGCCTTTTATTTCGGATGCAAGGTCTCGTTGCGGTCCATCTCATGTTAGCCACCTTAAAGGTGCGTGGTTGTAATGTGAACCAAGGGATGATAACTATACATCCATTTGGTAAGTCACTAGTGCAAAAGGTAGCACACCATCTATTATAAGGCATTTTTCAGGGCCTTTTGCCTTTTTGCCATGATCTCACTTCCCTGCACATATTACACAACCCAAATTCGGTTGTCTTTAGGGTGTCCAGGTCTGCATAGATCTTTGTCTTTTCTTATTTCCCCCCCATGCCAGCATCTGTGCAAAAGAAGTGGGCGCGGGGTGGGGTCCTGCAGCTGATGGCTGGGATGTCTGGGGTTGGTAGCTAATGCTACTGAGTGGTGTATGCAAAGACAGAAATGGCATGTGAATCAATAAACACAGAGACTGGAAGCTGAGCTCTGTATCGAGCTGCAAGCCATTTATCTTGCTGTCTGGCAGAAATGATCATTGCAAAGATCCTCTCGGAGGACTTCGCAGTGGCGTCTGATGAGAGATGGGGTTTTTCAATTTCAGCAATATGCATGCAAACTGTAGTCGTGCGTCGGGGTTTCTTCTTGTTTGTGAGGCCTTAGCTACACCTAGAATGAGTGAGTCCACATATGGAAGTACTCCGGGAGACCTACTGTGTTTTAAATTCACATCCTACCTCAGTCTGAATAAACTTTCAAGTGGAGATGAGCCCTGGAGTGCTATTTCAGCATTTAATTTCTTTTCTTCAAAACAATGTCAAACCTATGGCAGCTTTACTCAATTTAAAGTACCACCTAACTTAACTATACGCTCAGTTTTCCTCTACTGAAACGTGCAAACTTCCCAACAGTGTTATAAGCCCATACACAGCAAAAGTCTACAGCAATTTGTCCTTTAGCTCACGTTGTAGGTGCTGGCCTCAAGAATTATACAAATCCAATGAACGAGGCTTCACCATAGCAGCAAGCAATGGCCCAAATATGCTATTTACTGCCAGACAGGTTTGCTTCAAAATCCAGATGTGTGTTTCTAGTAAGCATCCCTCTGAATTGATATTCAGGTTGCTCTTGGTAGCCAGGCAGCAGTTCAATGGAGTCACAGCGCTAAGCAGCTGGATGGAGCAAGGGATGATGAACCCAAGAGCTCCAACTTCCAAAACTGCTTCCCCAATTTTTTTTTCAGAGTTGTCTGCAAATGTCAACCTACGTTCAAATCGGGGAGATGTTCAGCTACTCTGTACTTGTGTGAAACAGTTTGCAAGCACGCTGACAATTACAGGTTCAAATGTTCTGGCTCTTTTTATAGCATCTTTAAATATTCGCTTATTTAATGTGCGCTAATCGCCAAAGCTGAAGCAACGTGTTTTTAATGGGCCACTGATTCCCGTATGCCAGCGGATTAGCCACAGGTGGCAAAAAAACCTGATCATTTAGGAAAGGAAGCGGATCATTTCACTAACGGACTTCCCAATATTTGGCAAAAAGTGGTATCTGCTTGCTAGACATGCACAGGGTGTAATTATTATGTCTTTTTGTACAGACCGTGATTGTTCACAGGAGGGTTTCAAACAGCCACAAGGCAGGGCTCTCAGTTCTTCGTCAAAGAGCATATTCTTACCAAGAGTCTTGTGACACCGTGTCACGTAAAAATGGCTGATGGAAAGCGGTCCGAGTGGCCTCTACCAAGGAGTGAATTTTACAAATGAAAAATGCTTGAGTATTGTTTGACTACCAGAAACAATAGCTAAACCCACATCCTGGCCAGAACACATTTTAAATCTCTTTATTAAACTGCATCTATACCTTTTGGGCTCTAAGACATGCAATGAATCTCTGGTCCCATGGAAGTTTATGGGAAATTTGCCACTGACTTCAGTGGAGGCAGAGTTGCACCTGTGATGTCTGAACTCGGTTTGTTTTTAAAAATCACTTCCTCTTTCTATTTCCTTCTGAGACCAGGGCTCACGCTCCGGGGTGCCATTAACTGCAAGGACTGTAGTTTTATGTGCAGCTGGTACCATGCACGGGGCTAGCGTGGCGAAGGCATGCCCATTTCTTTAGCCAACAGCACATGAGGGAGTGATGTGGCTTGCTGCCTTTGACCACAGCCCTACTGAGGAGGTGCCCATTTTACAGCTTGGTTCACTGGAGAGTCCAGAATAGCCCTCAGTCGCATCCCCACAGAGCCCTAGCGAGACTCTTTGACCACACTGCGACACATCTCCCTAAAGCATACCGTAGTAAAATGTAAAGGCCAAAAAGTTCGACGAGTGCTAATACTAGCCAGCCAAATCTATGTTTGGGCACCCAAACGTGCGGCCCGGTCTTCTGAAGTAAGGCTTGTTTGAAGTGCCTAGTAGCACCCGAGGTGCTCAGCACCTCTGAACGTCAGGCACTGTTAGGTATCCAAATACAGAGATGGGTGGCTGAATGAAGCCACGCACGGTTGAATACGGCAGCTGAAGAGCTTAAAACCACCCACGTAGGAATAAGACTCCAGACACTCTTACTTTTGTTTGAAGGTGCAGGCAGGCCGTCCTGGGCGCTCTCGTTCCCTGGCGTAGGTGAGGCTAAAGCACTTGCTGCGGTCTGGGATCCTGACTGTTTGCTTTCCTCGCCCGGTGTTTCGGCAACATTCCCGACTAACCCCGTTCCCGACGTAGCGTGCTCAGAAGGCCACAGCTGGTGGACCACGCCAGGCGGTGCGGAGTCGTAGAAGGCTCTGAATACAGGGGGCTCAAACAGGGCCCTGGTTTCCACGCTGGGGACGGGAGTTGCTGTTAACTGCTCTTTAGACACCGCTGATTCAGAGGGATTCCCTGCTCCAGAGGTTTTGCTTCTGGACTTAGCAGGAGGAGGAACAACTAAATTCAAGCAGTGGTTTTCCAGGCTCTCTGGACTGCTGCGTTCTAAAATCTCTTGTAAAAAGGGGGTCGTCACAGCCTTCCCTTTGTAGACAGAAATAGATGTCTGGGTGGCCGTATCTTGGCTAGTCCCCCTGTTCCTATCGCCTTGCACTTGCAGTTCATACTCAGCCAAGGCTTCTTTATTCTGTGAGTCTGAAAGAATATTCCGGTTTATTTTGGGTCCTTCCTCTGCTTCAAACTGTTCCTCATCAGAGATGTCTTGCAGGTCCTCCATGCTTTTCGTTGGCCCAGTAGCTCGGTCGGTTGTGGCACGACTAGCCGTTAGTAGCATGTTCTGCTCTGCGGTGCAGCACGGTCTTGTGGAGCTGCTGCCTTTCAGAGGAATAAGTCCACTCTGGTTTTCTGGTGGCACTGCTATATCGCATGCTATGAAGCACGTGTTGGCTTCGGCCTTTGGAGCTATCCCTGGAGATCTGCTGTGGCATCCTGTGCTCTCAGAATCGGCTTTCAGTGAGCTTACCCTGTATCTCTTTTCGCTTAAATTATGCTCCGCTGAGCAGGAATCAGAGGTTCGGGGCCTCTTCTTCTGTTCCATGCTTTCCTCCCCGCTTCTGAAGTACAGCGCCCCGCCGCAGCGCCAGTGATAGGCATGTCCAGTTACACATATCCATAGAACAGAATTGTCCCTGGTGGGACGGTCCATGCCCTGTACAATTTCCAAGGCTGGGATTTGATTGCATATCGTCCCATGAGTGTGCGCCCAAGTCACCAAGTTGGTCAGATCCTTGGCGATTGATCTGATGTTGCTGCAGGTTGCATCTTCAAGGTTCTCGTCCTGCAAAGGGGTTTAAAACTGGCTTTAAAATGGGATGTTCGTTACAATGGGGCGAGAGGAGCTGCTGTCTAGCATCTTGCTAATTTTAATCACTTTAACGGAATAATTGATTTGATGGCTTTTTTCATGCTGTTTGTCAACAAACTTAATTTCCAAACTGTAGGAGCTCATTTGTGAAGATCTCAGCAAGTGTGCAGTTGACACCGAGTTGGGGGGGAGTAATAGATATGCTGGAGGGCAGGGCTGGGATTCAGAGTGACCTAGACATATTGGAGGATTGGGCCAAAAGGAAATCTCACGAGGTTCAATAAGGACAAATGTAAAATCCTGTACTTGGGCTGGAGCAATCCCATGCACCAGTATAGGCTGGGACTGGCTGGCTAAGAAGCAGCTCTGCAGACAAGGACCTGGGGGTGACAGTGGACAATAAGCTGGATATGAGCCAGCGGTGTGCCCTTGTTGCCAAGAAGGCCGATGGCATCCTGGACTGCATTGGTAGGAGTGTTGCGGGCAGATCGAGGGCAGTGATTCTTCCCCTCTATTCTGCACTGGTGAGGCCACATCTGGAGCACTGTGTCCAGTTTTGCCCGCCTCCTCCCCACTATAGAAAGGAGGTGGCCAAATTGGAGAGTTCAGCAGAGGACAGCAAAACTGGTTCAGGGGCTGGGGGAATTGGTTTGGAAAAAAGAGGCCAGAATGGGGAATGAATAGCACCCTTCAGCTCCCTGCAGGGAGGATGGAGCTGGACTGTTCTCAGTGGGGGCAGATGGCAGGACAAGGAGCAATGGGTTCACGTTGCAACAAAGGAAGTTTAAGTTGGATATTAGGAAAAAACTTTCTCACTAGGAGGGTGGTGAAACACTGGAACAGGTTACCCAGGGAGGCTGTGGACTCTCCATCCTTGGAGGTTTTTAAGACCTGGCTAGACATAGCCTTGGCTGGGGTGATGTAGTTGGGGCTGGTCCTGCTTTGAGCAGGGGGTTGGACTAGATGTGACCTCCTGAGCTCCCTTCAGCCCTCATTTTCTATGAGTCTATGACCTTTGTAACTAAAAATAATTTCCTTCATAAAGAATCCCCCTTGCAGTGAGGTACTTTCTCATCGTGTACAAGATCGTATTTGTTAGAACAATTTTGTAAGACTACTCACAAGCAGCACATTTTACGTTTTGCCTATGGAAAAAAAAAGATGAAACGGTCTCTAAAAGAATTAAAGTCAAGTTCAATAACATATTTAAAGCTAATTAACAATGTCCAGTGAGCTATACTAAACTTGACAGTGTACTCACCATGCTGCTGTGGAATATGCTATTCTGGTAGAAAATACTGTCTGTCGCTTAAATACTCCTCCTTCCCTTCACAGAACCTGAAATGATCAGCATATATATTTCATTTCTCGATTTTGAGTGACAGCTCCCAACAAACGTCTCATAATTGAGCAAAAATTGAGTGGTTTCACTCCTGCAAATACTTTACTAATGTGAGAAGCAAAGGTTTTTTTGGTTTGAGGTGGTACCTTTAACGGGGACTAGCTGTATAGAGATGGACTTACTAATGGGAATAATTCCATTAGGTTGAGTGGGACTAAACAGAGGAGAAGCTACTCATGTAAATCTCTGGTACACTCTAGGGACCTGATCCTGCAATCAAAATCAAAATAAAGCATGAATTATACATATGGAATATTTAAAATGCTTCTCTGCACTACCTAAAGCCCAAACAGAACAGCACTGTAGCCTTTAATTCTCCAAGCAGGAACAGAAATATAAGTAATTAGAAGCAAAATAGACTTGCCCTATTATTTAACGTTTTTAAAGGGAAATTTAACGGTGGAGGTACTGTAAGGTATTGTCTATTTCTCTCTATGTATTTAAGCTCATGTTTGGAACAAAACCTTCAGTCTACATAAAGCTTCTTTGAACATCCTAAGCTTGATGAATAGAAGCACATTCTCTATCCTTGCATGGAGAGCTGGTGTATTAACTCAAAGAAGTTACTGTGATGGAGTGACGCCCAGAGGCGTCAGCACAGAAGGGCCGGACCGTGCTTGATGCTGTAGAAAGTTGCAGGTCGTGACTGGGATCCCTGCATCACAGAGCTTGCAAGCTGTCCTGTACCTTGCGCATTTAATGCTGGTAAACGGTACTAGACTGAAAGCATTGGAGAAAGAAATCCGCTGTCTACTCATCCAACTGTCAAGCTGATCGCTGTCCCCAGGGTGACGTTTCACTCTGGTGAGAAAAAAGCCTGTATTTGCTTTGCAAAGGATGCATGTTGCATCCCTTGCTCTCTGAACAAGGGCGAGTGTGCAGAAAGGGAGGAATTTATTCCCTTAGCTGATGGGAATGGAGCATCTGTTTATTATGAATACAGTGTCTAAGGGGGTTTATGGCATGGATACATCAGTTGAATTCAGGAAAAGCCTGCCTGCATGCAAGCAGGAAAGAGTACAATGGTTTTGGATGGCCGTTCATCTCCCAGCACCTAAGGGACAATGCAAGGGTCATTTGGTTTGATGTTCCACCCTTGACCCCCTGATGAGCTCACCAGGTTGCTTTTGGCCAAAAGATTCAGGAAGAGGAGACATAGGACTGCTGCCTGGATGAAAATGAAGCCTCTGTTAGTCTGTGGGGTTATCGACTCAAACATGCCAGCAAGAAGAGGGCTGAATAGGTCGTGCCTTCCTAAATGCCTTCACCTGGGGTTGGGGGCGAATGGGTGTCAAGACAGTCCTAAGCTTAAACATCTTTATCTCTTGTTCCTCCTGGGTGCATCTACATGTGAAATGAGTGAGCTTAAATAAACTCTGGTGCAGTTTGTGCTGGAGTTTATTGCTCCCAGGTATCACGTTTACACATGTGCCCGGGGCCGCAGCACATTGAGCTGGGGTGCCGCAGCCCTGGCTGGCAGGGGCCCAGGGAGTCAGTCTGACAGCCCGGAGCTGCTCCACCCCAGCTCAACGTGCTGCGGAGGGGCTGGCTGGGGCATGAGGGTGCTACCGCGTGGGGCTAGCAGGCAGGTAGCCCACGCACGGTAGCACCCTCATGCCCCAGTCATCGTCTACACGCACGTTGCAGCAGAGTAAATAACTCCACCGTAGGATAGTACTTGAGTCGGCCAGTACAGTGGAGTTAATTAGCTTGCGCTGGCTCCTCTGCCAGGGGGCAGGTGCAATGGGGGAGGCCACCCCTGGCAGAATTGCAGGGGCAATCGCTGTGGCTGGCATGGGGCATCAGGCGTGGAGGGTGCTGCATGTCATTGAATGCCTGACGGAGCAGCCCCTTTCTGCTATGTTTTAGCCCCAGTAGCTGAGTGCTTAGGGCATGTGCCCAAGAAATGGGGGGCTGGGGTTCTAGATCCACCCCCCTGTTGCTCAGGGGGTGTTTGGACCTGTATGCCTGACTCTGTGCTCCAACCACCAAGTCACAAGCCAGGCCCTTTTCCTATGCTTTTTTGGGGGATGGCCCCTTGGGCAGCCAGGAGGAAGAGAGCAGGGCATGTGGGTCAGTGAAATGGGTGCTGGCCTGGGTTCTAGCTTGCTCCTAATGGGGCAGAAATGTCCCCGTTACATTGTCCTCCAGGGACGGCTAAATGCAAGGACCAGAGGCTCAGCTAGGGACAAAGGCCACCAATTCAATGACAGATAGCCGAGTGGAAAAACAAATGAATTTCCAAATGCTCAGCAGAGCAGCAGCCAACAGGGAAACCAAAAAACCCCCCCAACTGAAACCTCAGCCCCCAAGCCAGATCACTGGTTATCTCCAGTCAAGAGAGAGGCTTGGGGGGGTAAATGCTCTCTTGCTGAGTTTATTTTACCGCCCAGCAGGAAAGGGATAACGGTCATGAGAACTGTTCCTGTTTTGGAGCGCAAATTGTTGTGCATTCGAAGAGCCTGCGTCCCCATTCCTCTGCAAAGCTCTCCTGTTCCAATGTCTTTCGCTGCTGCCTCCCCAGATGTTCCTATTTATGGTTTTTTCTAAGGCCGGGAGGGATAATTTTAGCTTAGAAGGCTGTTTGACATGTTCTTCGCAAGCTGGGTGGTTGAACCACACGTAAGACTGGGATTTGTGAAAGCGCTTCTCAGCAAAAACCAGTGGCTCCTTTTGAAAAATGCTAGGCTTAAATGGTAGCAAAAATCACGTTGAAACCTGAGTTTTATACCACTTCAGCAAATGTATTTTGAGTGCAGGATCTGGCTGTCGACAAGTCTAAGGCCAGGCATTTTACTGAATCCACCCTGCTTCTGGATCCATTCTTGCCCGTCGGCCTGTTCCTGTTCTCTTGTGAAGTCCAGGCAAGCCAGGCCTCTGACTTCCTTCCGCCTGAGCAGTTTTTTTTCCAAAAGGGTTGGATTGTCTGGACAGAGAAAAGGAACTCTTATGCCAATGCTCTGGCATTTACAGCTACTGTACTGTGGGAAGAAGATAATAAAAAGAAATTTTGCCTGGTCATAAGGCCATGAAATTTCTGACTTGGCAATTGAACTTCTTGATTTCTATCGCAAGCTTCCTAAATGGGACCCTTTCATCTCCCTTTATCTCAAAACACATGCTTTCCCTTTCCGGAGCTTTCTTCTAAAAAGGCTTTTTCTTTTTATAGTTGGCTTTTAATGAAAGTCCAGCGACCCACTAAAATAACTTTCCAGCCCATGCCTGCTCTTGCATGGGGAGTAGCATCAGAGAAGCCAGTCAATGGAGTTACTCTGGATTTACACCACTGTTAACTGAAAGGATGTATTTGCCTTAAATACATGAGATTCTCAGCTGCTACAAATCAGCATTACTCCTTGATCATAGTCAATATAGCCACGTGCAGATGAAGATAAGGCCCTATGAAGATTTTGTGGCTGTTTTAGCAGCACTGCAACTGCTAGCGATGATGTGGCATTTTAATGATCTTTCCAGGAAGCTCTCCAGTCCGGTGACGGGCTCTGAACAGAACTGACATCTTTGTCCAGGAATCCCGAAGTGTTCTTGGTAACCAGCTATAGTTAAATGACCCCTACCCTCACTTAAATAAAAATGGACCTCCCAGCTGCTGGATTGTGCCTTTTGACCAACTTAATCTGCATAATCAAACTGACACGACGTCAGCTGCTGATCTGATGACTCGTTAATCCCTGTATCCTAGAGAATTTAGCCTGGTATTTTCAAAGGAACACCTATCTCCTATGGCTTTTCAATGCCAATAGGACATCAGTGTACAGCGATCCCGCTCTCAAGCTGCTAGTAATTCAGGACATCATATCACCTTTGCTCCTTGTGTGCATCCAGTTTTGGACGGTTCAAAGGGACCTGGTTTTTACAGGACGGGCATTCAGCACATTCTGAAGATGGTTTTCTTGCAAGGTGGGGGGACCCAAGGCACCCAAAAACACTTTTGAAAATGTGAGCCTGTGTCATTTACTGGTATGAGTAGAAGGGGAGACCTGTGTATTGTTCATGGTATGCTGAAGACCCTTAAATCTGCTATAACGCACGTAGACTTATGCCAGCAGCATAAACGGAAAAAGGACTCTTTGTATAGATGTACAAAAGGCCCATCAGCGACCTTGTCTTTAGTTTAGTTCCTTTCCCCTCCTACTCCTGATAATCTTGGTTCTGTTTCTTTTGCCTATTTTGCAGGCTAAAAGTTCAGCTGTCAGGCACAATACCAGCAAACGCACGAGCTGGGAGCATGTCAACCTCCTGACGAGGTGACACGGGAAACGGGAACAATTCGAGTCGGAAAAACAGGAAACCGCTCACCATCCAGCAAAGCCCGGCGAGGGAGGGCCAGTTCCCTTTGCACGTGCCAGCTTAGGGACAGACACAGACCAAACTGTCAGCTAATGCTAGTTCACAGAGACCTCGTATACATTCTTCGTCCAGGAGTCCAAACATATTCCCAAAGAACGGGGCCCTAAAACCTATTTTTCATCGGTGACCCCATCCTCGTCCCCACCATTCCTCTGCATTATGTCTCCTCTCCTAAGGGTCTTCATTCCAAAGCCAAGATCCTTGCAATGTGATCTTAAGCGCTGGGGTAAACTGTATTTAGACAAATCTAATGGAAATCTGCAGCCGGTTGGCAGAGGAGAGCCTGGATCCGAGAGTCGGTAATGAGCCACTAAAAACAGATGTAGTAAAGGAGAAAAATAATTTTAAAACATGGAATGATATAAATAGAACCTAATATTTCACCCCCACAGGGGAGGAATAACAAGGAGTTGAAATGAAAAGGAAATTAGCTACAGAGCACATGCTCTGAGCCTTTGGCTTAAAAAATCTAAAAGGGAGACGACTGATTCTGACCCTCCAAATTCCTACCGCCACGCGGGGCCTAGTCACACATTACCAGGAAAGTTGCAGGATTAGATC